ACGGGGTCTGGATTGGTAATTGGATTTATTGAACACTTACAGATCACAACTACAAGTAACTATAGCACTATTGCTATTTCACACACACTGCTATTCAGTACAGCATGCACTGAGTAATCTCAGCCTGCTGCTGTATCTTCACCAGTTATTGCCTGGTGAAGCCTTCCAGTGCCATAGCTTTCTCAACTTTCATCTTCATGTCCTTACTGGCTAACAACTGTCTCACAACTGACTATACTCTAGACTTGTTCTCCTTATAACACCTCACACGGACCACACAGAAAACACTGTTATTGTTGTATCATGCAGCTGTCACATGGACTGCATAGAGAACACTGCTTACCAGTTAGTCCATTGCTGTATGTTAGGAATCTCTTGCCTAGCAACGGTCATCGTTTACAGAGTCATTACTTAACAGTGGGTCTACATCCTACAATATTGTAAGAGATTTGACCAACACATTGCTCTGTAAACACAATCCAGCACGCAACAATAGGGGAAACTTTGTTTTCTGTAGATCCGTCTGATGCGCCAGTAGACTGGCTGGATAGTGATCACGTGATGGGTGCTGAACTTGCTGAACTTTGTTATATAGCAGAAATGGACCACACAGAAAATACCTCTTCTGTCGTGAGAATAGTTGCGTAACCTAGCAACTAGTCAACAGAGAACACAGCTCCCATTGTTGCGTGGTTGCTGAACGTGTATACTGAGTAGTTGCCTGTTGTCACGCATTTAAGGGACATTTTATCGCTCTGTTTCCTAACTATACACATTACAATGAATTAGATATTAGTAATGATATCCATGCTGATATATCGAACACTGGTGAAGATATATATGCTGACATATAGGATATTATTGAAAGTATCCTTGCTCATATATTTGACTTTATGGAAAACATTGATCATGATAAATTAGGCATCCGCAAAATTGTCTGTGCTTATTATATCAAATTAGTGAAAATATCCATGTGATGTATAGGATATTAGTGTATATATCCTTGTCGATTTGTTGTTCGTTGATGAAGATATCCATTCTCTTACATTGGATATTATTAAAAGTATCCATGTTCGTAAATCAAACATCAGTGAAAATATCTTTGATGATATACCAGGTATTAGTGAAAATGTCTGTGTCATTGTAGTGGATATTCGTAAAATATCCATGCTGATATATTGGATATTGGTGGAAATAGCTGCTGACTGATTAGCTAGTGAATATATTAATAGTGCTAAATCAGATAGTTATTAAACTATTCGTGCTGGTGTACAGGACATAAGGCTTCAAAATGTTAAATTGCCGAACCCGCCATGCTAGTTTTGCTGGTAATAAAGTTTTGAAGTCGTGACAAATTGAGCCAGGATAGTGAGGGTGATCGGGGTTCAGTACCTTGCAGGAGCAGATTTTTCTGATCATATGCATTATGGTTCTGAGGTTCACCCAGTAACATATTTAATTTATGCCAGTGTGTTCGCCGGTAGTAAGGTGACCGGAGCGTGAAACTGGCCTCTGGCATCTAGTTTTGAGCTGCATTATGCGTGAAGCGTTGCCTCCACGTCCCCATACGCCTCCATGACTTTGTGTTTAGGCACAAGGGAACTTCGCCTTCACCTCTACCGTTGTTCTTTGCCGCGAAGTATAGCCAAGTTCTGCAGGTGCTGGTCTTCTACATTTTTATCCGAAGTGTACGCGGCCTATCCGTTAATAGCGGTAGGAGAAACAGCTTGCTGTAACACGTGGGCCGTTAAGTGCAGTGGTCTGTCCATATGTTGAGGTGAGAGAACTGCTCGTCATTTCGCTAAATGTGTTCGTTTCGTACTTGCAGCAAACATAAGTATCAAGCTAACAGTTCGTTCTCTTGAACAAAGGTAGAGGTAGGTGTGTGATTTCATCCATGTGTTCTACTTTCTTCGAGAGTACAGTATAATTTTTTGGAAGCAATGTTCTTTGTAAAGTGCGCACGGTGTGGGAGTTTACGATTAGATGTGGTGGCAAGAAGATAATATGAGCAGGTGGGATTTCAGGTTCTCGGAGCCGTGACTGAAGAATTCGATCTTCATGGTTGTAACACCGCGTAATTCAATTGAAGTCCATCTACATTTCGGAGGAACGTATTGCTTCCATCTCCAAGGTGGAATAATAAGCCAAGCAAGAAACCAATAAGCAGGCTGCATGCAGAGCGAGTACTTTCTCTGCTTGCTGGTTTCATGCTTGGATTACTCTTCAGCCCTGAAGATGGAGACGGTACATGCCTTCCAAACGTATGTGGGCGTCTGTCGTTAAGTCCAGAAGATCTTAGTCTGTATGAGTATGTTTTTCGGCGCGTTTCTCCATGTTTCACTGAAAAGTATGCAACTTCTCGAAGTACGGAGTGAATTCGCGTGATTCCGTCTGTAGCCGCTGATGATTGAACTATTATTTGACATAACCGTAAAAGTTTACATATTTGGAACGTGTTATCAAAGTATTTCGCTCAGATTTTAAGAGTTCTGTAGAAGCTTGAGTACTTTTATGTTTAAAACGAAACATTGTGTGTTGACACATATTTCGCCCTTTAATTTCGAGAATTCCTCTTTATTATTCCGGGATAGCGCAGTCGGTATAGCGACTGGCTATGGGCTGGACAACCGAGGGGTCGGAGTTCATGTCCCCATAGGTCAAGAATATTGTCGTCTCCATATCGTCCAGACCGGTTCTGGGGCACACCCTGCCTCCTAGCCAATGGGTACCGGGGTAAAGTGGCCGGGGCGTGAAGCTGACCACTGACCTCAAACTAGTGCCGAGGTCAAAAAAATGTGGATCTATACATCCACTCCCCATACGCCTTCATGGCGTAGTTAAGCACGGGGACAANAATTTACTCGTCACCAGCGCCCTTTCAGTTGTATTGCTGCGTAAGTATATATCACGAGATTCGAATACTAAAAGAAGGCTTTGAATATCTCTGCGATTATTCCCTGCCCACATATTGCGTTATTTAGAAAAAGTGCCATGAGTTATTCATGTCGTGTTAAATTCCAATAATACACACGTTCGTACGAAAGTCAAATTACGCGCAAAACCATGAAATTCCAAAATGAAGCGCGTTTGTGTCTAACGTCGAAGCCTTCATCTTAGAAACTGTTTTATAAAATTACATCAAATTTATTATTAAATTGTTTTCATGCGCGGTTGATGTTACAGCGCCGTTGATATCTCAGATTTTGTGGCGCCAAATGGTATGATGACTGGTGACTAATAAATTGGAAGGAAGCGGTCGTGGCCTGATCAAGCTACTAACGCGGTATTTGCCTATAGGGATTGAGGAATACCACGAGAAACCGTAGGATAGCATGTATCCCAACTGAAATTCAAACTAATCACTCCCCCCCCCCAAATGCAAATTGAGATCGTTACCATTAGATCAACTGCTCAGTCATTGAATTCTGGTAATTAATGGGTTATCACAGTAGTGAGACATCTTATTTCAAGTGGGAGGTACTTGGTTCAAATCCTTGCCAGAGACTGCTTAACCAGAATGAGGCCTACCTGGCTTTTCCTCAGTCTCTGTTTCCAGATACCAGGGCATTACTATCAGTAGGCTATACTACCTCCTACGTATTAGTATGTCAAGTCCATGGAGTAGATTCCTTCTTGAGGAGATGATTGTTGCTCAGCTATTCAAGGAATTCTGTCATTTTATGAGATATGAAGATTGACTACCATGTCACAGAAGTGCCAACCACTGGATACTATCCTGAATGGGTGAATCCAGCCCATGCCCCCACACCCCATTTCTTTAAAACTGAATTATCCTCCCATCTGCCTCTAGGCATCCATGTGGTCCCTTCCTCTGTGGATTTCTGTCTGGTACTTTATATGCATTTCCGATATCTTCCATGCATACTACATTCTCAATCTATCTCATTTTTGATTTGCTCACTCTCATAATATTTATTGGAGAATGCAAATTATAAAACTCCTGAAGTAATGTTCTCTATCCTCCTTTCACTTGATGTCACTTAAGCGGCCGCCGTAGTCTAGGGGTAACGTTCCCACCTCATGACTCAAGGTACGCGGGTTCAAACCCGGCAGAGGTCGTGGAATTTTTAAGGGCCGAAAAATTCAGGGAACAAGTCCTCCAGGAGGGACTTTAAGCCATGGGTCCTGTGTCGTAGATTTACAGCATGTAAAAGATCGTCATGTCTCTAGGAGACCTCTGGTAGATGGGGAAATATCGGGTACCACTGCCAGTAGAGGGGCCGAACTTGCTGGCTGAACAGGGCTGATAGCGAGCACCAGTACTGGAAGGGTATGGCGACTGGTAGAATATCAAAGGGGGACATACAATAGATCAACAACTGGTTGCGGTGCATGGGGAAACCCACCCCCTCCAATAATGAATGAATCTCTCTTAGATTCAAATGTCCTCAAAACTTTGTTCTCAAATGCTTTCAAGCCTGGAAAGTAACAAATTCTAAACTTAATTCCCTGACGTAATGAAGCCATCAAGAAGCAGCCATCCTCCTTCAGATACAGTATACCAGGTCACTGTCATTATTCAATATTTTAAGAGTATTTCAGAGAAATTCAGACGCATTGGGAACCATTTCAATGTCAAGAACATTTTCAAAACTAAACATGCACTCCATGGGACATTGTTGAAAAGTGAACCAATTAGAGATGCCCAGCAGACAAAGCAGTGTGGGTGCAATATCCCATGTTATTGTGGCAGATGTTGTATCGATGAAACAAGCTGACCTTTAGAAATACACGTTAAGGGGCACAAATATAACTTTACATAATGTCTGCTTAAAAAATCAAAATTAGCCCAACATGCATATGAAGAAGCCCACAAAATATGTTGGAATGAAGCGAAGGTCTTGCAGATTGAACCAAACACCACATACAGGAAATACAAGGAATCTGCCCACATGTATCTGCCGGACCATCAGATCGGTCAACCCAGCTTGGACATCTCTCCCATCTGGACTCCCCATGTCACAGCAATAGTTAAAATGTACAACTCTGTCCAGTGTGGGGAGATTATGTGTCGTTACCATATGGAGAACTTGTCTGTCCACTGATGACGTCTATTCTGATGGTCCTCTGGTGCAAGACCTCATACATGTGGAGTTTTTAATACTTTAATATTTTCTCTCGTAGATGGTTTGTGCTGTGTTTGGGTTGTATACTGGATCATGGGTTGATGTAGGTGCCCGAAGATAGGGACTAACTCTATCGATTAGGCCCAACTGAGTAGGTTTTACCCGAAGACAGATAGAATGCAGTCTCTGAAACATTGTGTTTTCAAATAAAAATGGGACAGTCTTTAGATAAAAACAGGATTATGGATAATGTTCAGAAACATAATAACTAACTTCCTGGAGCTCAGCCTTTCTTGAGAAACTGCCAGTTGTGCAGCTACTGAAAAACTTCCCACCATTTTATGGAACTCAAAGGTATGTAACCATGTTCACAAGAACCCTCCATTGGTCTGTATCCCCAGAAACATAAAATGTATATGAATTCCCTATTTCTCTTATGCCATCATTCATAATCTGTGACCATAGTCCATTCAGGCGGCCAAAGAATTTTCATGGGCCATAAGGATAAGAGTTTCTAGGTGGGGAGGTCCTGCCCCTCCACTCTGCCATTCTAGCATGCTTGTTATTGCTCCTCACCTAGTGCTGTAGAATGAATATTCCTGCCATAGGAGTGGAAGAGTGGGGATTAGAGTAAGGGAAATGCATGAAGAGATTGTTGATGGAGTGGGGGGTGATCTGTGAGAATTCTTTGCCCACCTCCACTATACATGATCTCAGCAGTTGGTAAAAGGATTAACTGATATTTATTTGATGCTTCGGAGCCAGGATAGCTTAGCTGGAATAGCAGTAGGCTATAGACTGGACAACTGAGAAATTGGGTTCTGATCACCAACAGAGGCAAGAAATTTTTACCTTCTCCATAGCATACAGACTAACTCCAGGAACTGCCCAGTCTACTATCCTACTACCAAGGGCTCTTTCCCCCAGGACTAAAGCAGCCAGGGCATGACGTTTATCCCTGTTCTCCAGATTGTGCCAAGGTTAAGAATAAATGGATTTATACTTCCACCCCCATACATCTTCATGGGGTGGTGCTTAACTGGTTAAGCACAGAGACAGCTTTATCTTTAGTCAAGTAATCCAACGTTTTGCCTTAGTTGCATAATACGGTTCATTATTACTAATATTTCGTTGTGTCACTGATAACGTTTGTTTAGTCTTGTGAGTGATAAAAACTGAGTTGTCTGTTTCTCAGAAAGCTCAGTCAGCAAAAGGAAAGTCAGCAGAGAAATCTCCTCTAGAAGAAATTGGATCCACCCTTACAACTGATGCAGGCAGACTGAATGAACTAATCCTGCAGCAAGGTGATCTGGTCAGGAAGCTGAAGAGTGAAAAGGCATCTAAGGTATCAAATTATATTTTATATTTATTGATCATTCCCATGATAACTGTAGGTGTTAAACATTGTGATGTAGTTACACATTAGCAAACATTATCACTTGTTTGCTGTTTGTGAGACAAGTTTTGTGGTTACAGAGGAGTAATATAAAGGTATTAAAAAGCATCAGAATTTAAGTACAGTAGGCACTGGTTACAATGATCATGTTTGTAAATTATATTTTGATTTGATGAAATGGCACTACTGTTAACGCTTATTTTTCGTTTTCTCCGAATTGTCACTGCTGAGTCTGTCTGGCCCCCAGAGCTAGGATGAGAACTGTGTCTGTTCTGTTTGCACATTTGTCTGNAGGTGTTAAACATTGTGATGTAGTTACACATTAGCAAACATTATCAGTTGTTTGCTGTTTGTGAGACACATTTTGTGGTTACAGAGGAGTAATATAAAAGTATTAAACAAGCATCAGAATGTAAGTACAGTAGGCACTGGTTACAATGATCATGTTTGTAAATTATATTTTCATTTGATGAAAAGGTGCTACTGTTAACACTTATTTTTAGTTTTCTCCAAACTATCACTGCAGAGTATGATGAGAGCTGTGTCTGTGGTGTTTGCACATCTGTCTATTTAAAAATAAAGAGAGTCACCAGGCTGAATTTAAAATTACATGATTAATGTGACCTAAACTGTAGCATTTAAGGAAGAACACAATCGGAGCTGGATCATGACCTCAAAAATGAAACAGATATGTTAACAATCAGTGACTTCTGTAATGGACAGTAGACTGAGTTACAAGGAATTGTTAAATCACCAGAATTTCTGATACTCAAATATTTTTCAGACCTGATTGAGATAAATGCTTGTGTACCTAATTGTGTAAGAATTTGTTTGCTCCTTTCTGAACATCGGAAAATGGATTTTGAAATATTTTCAATGTTAAGGGTTATAAGTAAAGGTGAACGTTACTTATATGGAGGTCATATTTTGTTGACAGATTGGTAACATTTCAGCCAAAAATACAAAATATAAGATACATTTGTGGTGTGTTTCTCTTT